ACACACACACACACACACACACACACACACACACACACACACACACAGAGACAAGGAGCACACAGTTGTTGATGTGCCCGCTGATGCGGAGCGAAGACAAATTGCTCCCTTTTGAAGGCAACGCCAAATCAAACACGGAGTGTGATTTCTGTCACTGTGCTGTTTGGCTTTAAGGCTGCGGGGCTGACATCTGACAAAACATCCATGCAGTCACACCCAGGAAGTTCTGCAGGGCGAGCGACCGCGCACACACATTTGTACAGTAGCACGCACGCACGCACGCACAGCGGTCTGTAGTGCAGATGGATTAAGGAGGCAGAGCTCCGTCAGCTGCTCCAAGATCCAGGACTTTGCCATCAAAAAGCCACAAAACACCTCCTCTGCACATCAGCGCTTACAAACATTGTGTCCTGAGGCTCAAGTATATATATATTTTTAATGCAGCAACACATTCGCTTAAGTAGCGGCTTAAGTATTCAAACTGTTTGTCCAATAATCACTTCTGAAAACCCTCTGATATGAGATGCACCACCAGGATTTGACCGTCGCAAGTAAACACTGCAGCATCGTTTTTTACTAATTAAATGACCACTACGGCTGCCCCCCTCTAACTGTCGTCGAACAGTCGACCTCATTGGTTGTTTTGGTCTTAGTCGACTCATATTTCTTCAGTCTATTAGTCATTTTTTACTGATTGTTTTATGCCAAATTACTTATTTCCAGGGAAACGTGTGAGCACATCTCTGGTAAACACAAGACTTAAAGCAGCGCTTTTGTGAGTTTGTTTGTGGGGAAAGTGTTGGTCGACTAAGAATGTCTTTGGCCCTAAAACAGCCTTACTAAATAAGCTTGGGATACGTTCTTTTTTGGACCTCCGTCAGGGTGATAATTCATTAGCTAAGGTCTCCCACAAGTCAGTCAGGGGCACAAAGGGCATCTCATTTATTCCTGTCTTTTGGCTTCTACCGCGGAAGTTCACCCTACGGTTTGTGTGTGTGTGCTAGTTGTACATGAGGGGTTTGTATCACACTTTTAAATAATGCAGTTCTTGAGAATGAAATAAAGCCCATGTGTGTTTGTGAGAGGCAAAAGAAGAAGATATACAGCATGTCTGTCCGTCTGTGCGGGCGAACGCTTGAACTTCCTTTACAGCCTCGTTTTATGCCAGACATGTTTGTAACCCACAATCTCTGCCCTGGGATCAGATTTGCCAGCCCTCTTATCCTCACCTCAGCCATTAGAGGGCTGCAAAAACACTGACTTCTAACCTGTAGCTGCTTTCCTTTCTTTTCACAAACTGCTTCTCGTATATTTTGGGGTTGGTGTTTTTTTTTGGGTCTAAGCAGAGGGAGAAAAGTGCCAACAGCAGGTTAAGATAATTTGAACAGGGGGTAGCCAGAATGCAGGTCACACCAGCTTAGCCTCCATATTTTTACCACTGTGGCACAACAGCAGGACCGCGTGTACGCCTGCCACGTTGACACGCAGTGTTAATTGATTTAAAAACTGAATGCGGAAGACCAGTGGGAGCTTTTTGTGACCTCTCGGAGTGAGCGAGAAAGCAGGGAACAGAGGGAGGGACAGAGAAACGCGGGAAGTGACAGAGATAATCAAGAGAGCCAGGAAGGCGGAGACAGAAGGACAGCAGTGGGCAGTGTCTTGAGGGGCAGGGCGATCGGGGTGGCGTTGTTGTGATTACAGCTGCTAAGTTAAGTGTTCCTGTCGGGGGAGAGGTCTGCCTCGCCGCTCAGGAGCCCTCTGAAGAGATGTCACCGCTAATTTACCAGCGCTCAGCGCTTTTCCCGTTTCCAATGTTCTTGTGACAGTACTCCTACTAATGTCCAATGTCAAGTAGGGATGATAAAACTGCAAAAAGAAACGGTTGAGGAGATGTGTGATTTCAAGTGCCTATATTTGCAGTTTGACCTTCATCGAGGCCTGCGCAAGATTTCAAGTGTATATTGTGTCTAGAAATTGACACAGGGATGCTTCTGCCTTTGAAATACAGCAGCTGACAAACTGAAGCCATCCAAGCTGAATACATTAACTTTATCATAACATGAATCACAGCGACAGTGTTTGCAGAATTTTAACAATCTGTACAGCGTTTTCCTTCCCCTGTAAAATGGATCTGTGTAAATACTGTAATTCCAAGTAAAGCCTGGCTTCTTTGGCCTGTGAGAAGGACGTCAATACATTTTGACATGCACATGGTCAATGGATCGCGATGGTCCATTCTAAAAAGAAGATATTTAAAAAAAAAAAGGTCTCATTCAATAGAAACTGGACCAAGCTGTCGAGCCCGTCTAATTATCCACTTCTAATTCTACCTGCAGTCTCATTTCAACGTATCGCAGGCAGTCTCCAAAATAATTGCTTTTTTTTTTGTTTTGGTTGCAATCTACAAGTTCATTTGCACACATTTTATTGATCAAAATGAGCCAGGAAAAAGAAAACAATCTAAACCTAAATTAAAAGCTTCATTAAATGTGAAAATTGGTCGGGGAATTGCCAACATCTGTTTCTGGCGCCCTGCGCCATAAACTCCAAGGTTAAACCAAACACCAATTTACGGCTCGCACACTCAGGCATCGGAGTCGGGGGCCGCGGAGCACCTTCACAAACAAGTCAACAAGGCTTCAAACGATCTCGGAGAGTGATGCGAGGGGCAGGGACCCCAAAAGCTCTTCCTGCCTTGTGTTTAGCAGGCCTGGGGAGTATTGCAACCCGAGAGCGGTGGAAGGATAAACCTGACACACTTTCAACCAATTTCAGTGCACGACAGCACAGGCGCTGCTGCTGTGTAGTAGTTTGAGATCAGTACAACATGTTCCCTCCAAAGAATCCACTGTGGACGGTGTTAGAGTGTTTTTTTTTCTTCTCCAGAAGCGGCCGTCTCACTGCTGCTTTAGGTGCACCTCCGTTCTCTGCGACCTTGGAGCAGCTTTGAAGCGAATTGGCTCTGTTTGCAAGTTGTGTTTCAACAACCCCCTTCGCGTGAGTGTTTGCAGCCTTGTTTATGACTGTTGGCATCTGAAACTGCTCGGGTATACAAACAGAGGGCAGAGGCCTATGCGTTTCATTCCAGCAAAGCCTCGCATAAGGCGAGGTCACAAGGACTAGAGAGCTGAGCGTATTGATTTAATACCTAACACCTCCCTGACTTAAATTCACTTCTAAACTCAGGTTGCCAGCCGAACGGATCTGCTTTGTTTTAGCCTTTCAGAGATGTTCGTGACTGGTTCCATATCTGCAAGAGAGACATTCGAAAACATCCGCCTGTGCGGAGTGCATCGGCTGAGGTTTTCCGTGCTTACCTTTAGGATGTCCCGGGTCACTGAACTCGTACTTCCCCATCCCGACTGTCCGCAGCATTTGCAGCCCGTTAGGACCGTCCTGATTGTCTCCGGCTGTGGGCTGAGCATGTGCCACCGCTGCCGCCGCCGCCGCCACCGCCGCTGCCTGTCCATTGGTCAGAGGCAAGGCGGGGTGCTGAATGAGGCCGGGGTGAGAGGTTAAGTGGCCGTTGCCCATCACGCTGTGAGGGTTTGGATGAACCACGTGGTTAGCTTGGGCGGACAGCTGAGCGGAGGCGTACTGAGGCTGGCTGGGCATGCTCAGCACCATGGAGGGCGGCTGCTGGGTCGACTGCGGCGTCAGCTGGAAGTGGGCTGTCATGAGTGGGTGATGCGGGGGCACCGGTGCCTGGATGGACGGGGTTACTCCTATGATGGGTGACTGCGCGGTCACACTGTGGCTAAAGGAGGGCGGCTGGGGGAGGCCGTAGGTGTGGGGCAGCAGGCTGGACTGGCTCACCGCCGCTACTGGTGCAGCCCAGGCAGGACCTGCAGACAAACACACAGGCAGATGTATCAATAGCATGTACAGCTTTTATTCCATAAAACCAAGTGAAAGAGCCCAAAACAAGGGGCAGATTGATTTTAAGTCTGGTATTAGAGGATCAAATAGAGACAGAAAACAGCATGAGAAGACAGACTCCAGCTCGAGTCTGCTCCTCTCCACACCACAACTTGTCAGTGTGCTGCTCCGCTTCAGTCCAAGTTTGTTTTGGACTTAATATCTAACGAAAAAAATGTCTGAAGCTCTGCGCCCAAGATTATCATCACAACAAGATTAAGGAAATCTGCTACAATGCCTTTTCTGAATGCGAACGCGTTCATGCTCAGTGAACACACCAATATCCGTGTAGGAGCCTGTGTTTACCCAGACACTCGGAGCCAATCATTTGTACTACCCTGAGGCGTTGGATGCTGAGGGTGTGCTGGGAAGACGCAGCCATATTGGCTCTGAACGCTGCCTGCCTCCCTCCCTCCCTCCCTCCCTCACACATTGGCTCCTACTCCCTCATCTCTAGCTCCTCCTGCCATGGTCCAAGCTCCAAAAATAGCCCACCACTCTGCCAAAGGGGCCAAAGGCTAAATCTCAGCATGCAAAAAGCTACGAAAAAAGTGCACGTTATTCATCATACCGGTCCTGCTGAGATGGATGGGGGGGGGGGTATCATAGAGGACTCCAGAGGCCAGTTCCTTTCATAATTCATGTCATTCAGCTAATTGGCACCGAAACTATATTCAATTTCCCTTATTTTGTGGCCCATCTTGATAAAGGATTCTAATGAAATGGGTTGGCGTAATAATTCCACATCTTATGAAGTTTTTAATGCAGTGATAAGAATTTGACGTGCCATATATACATTGTGTCCGTCCTCCATTTCTGTGTTCTTGTCCTTCACTACTTCACCCGTCTTTTAGCAGCAAAATGTAGAATAAATTCGGCAATTTCTTTTCATTTTGTCGAATTTCATTATCATAACCCAACATTGACCTACATTCATACAGTAGGCCTTTACTGCAAAGTCTAACAAAATGAAGCAGGTACATTAATATTAAATGTTAGGTGTAGAAATACTGTCGTCTTCAATCTCCACTGTCCACATGCAGGGCTCGCTTTAAAAAAAAACCTCCACTTATATGATTTTATTTATTTATTAGGGCTCAAATCATGGCATGAAAACAAGAACGATTTTTCACACAAGGAAACTGAAGTTGAAACAAAACTTCTCTTTGAAAGACAAACTTTCTTCAACAGACACGACCGTGAAGTTTTCTGTTGAAAGAAAGCGTTGATTAATTCTGCCACAGTTGGCAGAGAACTCTCTGGCAACACAGTTCAGTGAAGTGTGGAGAGGAGCTGGCTCTACGTCGCAAACGCCAGTCACAGTTTGAAATGGCGCACACGCGCAAATCAATATGCAACACTATGCTCGGATTTGAGTGTCATATGCGACAGTGAGCTGGGTTTGTGACATCTCACTCTCCTCACGCTTTACTCAAAGCTGTGGTGTGGGTGTGGGAGCTGCAGTGGTTGGAGGGAGGGGGGGTGGGTGAAGCTTCATTCACTTCCACACAATAATAAGACCTCCAGGATCTGATGGCCACACAGCAGGGGGGGGGGGGGGCACCGCCACGGAGCTCCATGCTCTCTTATCACCACCGCATCCTCCCATCGTGAGAGTCGCCCCTACGGTTTCTGCTACAGAAACATCCCTCTTGGGTAACTGATCAAACTGATGAATAATTAATCCACGAAGCAATCTATATGGAAGATATGCAAATTACAATTAGGGGGGGGGGGGGGGGGTGAACAGGCAGCGGCAGGGTTCTGAAACTTGTTTCCAGCGTGATGCTTTGCTACCACTGAGTAGCAGCTGTCTACAATCTGGATTTGTCGAGCTGGAATTTCCACTGGAGCAAGCTCTGTGCCAGCGTTATTCTTAAATGACACATTTGTGATGAGCAGGAGGCAGAGGCCAGCAGAGCAATGGAAGGAAATGAACTGCTCTAGGGCAGAGGCATTCTGGGCGAGTTCATTACAATAAGAGTCAAACAACCTCAACATTGGCTTAACTCCTTAACGTCGGGGTCTGCGCACTGCGCTGCTGTGCCTCTGTTGTGCTGTACACGTTGTAAAAGGGCACGAATAGAATAAGGTCGACGTCTGAACTAGACCTGGTGGAGATCGTTTGGAGGACTTCACCACATCGATTTAATTTAGACTGAATCAGCTTCCGTTTGTGACACAAGAACACCAACGAGGACAACAAAACGAGAGCAGAGTGAAGATGGAAGGCTGTGAAGGTGCAATATGGATTCATACTTATTTTTCCTTTTTTAACTTCTTGTTATCACACTGACATTTCTGTAATGTAATGCATGAATGAGCTGGTTTATGTAAAGATGGTGTTTGTGAATGTTAATTATGCATGATTGTGTATGTAAAGTGTGCATGTTGAGGAGGCAAGCGTGTACTTTATGTGGGGCAGGGCAGCCAGCATGCCTCATTAGCATTGGATACTAGTGTGGCTGGCCGGGGTCGTTTGGCGTGTAGCCGTCCGTGCGCATGCATACATCTGCTGTGTGAAGGCGGACCGCTGAGGAAAAACTCACATCAGCTGGACCCACCCGATGTGTCCGTCAGTACGTACGTAAATGCTGTGTGTGTGAGTCATTACCGGTGGGCTCGCTGTCTCGATGTTGCTTGGCGGGGGGCTCGTCCGTATCCCAGGGTGTGAGCTGGTTGATGGGCGTCTGTCCCCACCTCACCCCTGGAGCCAGCAGCAGTCCTGGGGTCTGGCTGTCTCCAGGAGACAGACCGGAGACCTGCAGCATAGAAACGAAACGAAACGCCGATTAGAGCGTCATAAGATAAAAGCAACCCAAAGAAAAGTGCGAGAGTTAAAACCAAACCAATCTACGCCGCCTGATCTTTAGACCACATACTTGTTTGCAAATGGCCCCGATATCTTTTTTTGTCAAAAGCTACGGTTTAAATAAATATTTCATTTTGTAGCTTGAATGAAAAGTGCAACAAATCACAATTCTTTAAGGTCTTAAAGTGAGCCTTGATGATGGAGCATGGCATGTAATTAGCAGTGAGTGAGTGCTGATTACAGCCTATTTATAAAATGGGATCAAGGGCATAACATTCTCATTCGTGGCCTCGAGAGTCTTTGCAGAAAGACCAGCATTTCTTTTAACTAACAACAATTGACTTTCTAGTGTGGGCTCCATTTAAATGCAGATCCTTCCCCCTGAGACGTTGTATAGCTTAATTTTTTTGCAATGAATTAAACATTGTGTTCAGTCAAGTGAGATAATAGAATTCTGAACACAAATACGACAAATAGAGTAAATAGGAAGAAATCCGTTTGCAGGGATGGGAGTAAAGCAAAAATGTAATTTCAGAAAAGAAAATGAAAAGCTAGGTGACAATGTGTGCATGGTGGTAAATCCGATGCAACTTCGCCAAACCAAACTAAGAGTTCCCTAAGCCTTTCTTTGCACTCAAAGCTCTAATATTTTGCTCTGGTAGTGGGGTAAGAAATGTTATCAGGCAAGCCCAGGCTGATGAAAACACCGGGTCAATCACCACTGGACCCCTGAGCAATATTCGCCTCTCCCCGTCTGCAGCTTGGATGCTCGGTCACAACCAGGCAGGGAGAGCCTGATTCCCCCGCTCGCCCCAGCCAGCCTCCTGAGTTAATAGAAAAGACCTGGTCACCAGAGCCCCTCCTGTGTCTGAGGCTGATCCCTCCATCCCTCAATTCCATTATCCTCCCTGACCTCGCCTTCCACTTTATCAAGCGCGCCATCGTGCATTCCAACCGCTGTGCTGACGATGCCCGACGGAGCGCGGGGCTCGCCGCACAACGACAAAAAATACAGTCCAAACAATTCGGTTTCACAGCGCATTAATGTGCAGCTTTACATATCGGGTCCATCCCATCTCAGGAAAACTCACCCTCTCTACTTTGCGATGGATTTATCGCAGCTTTGAGCATCGGGGGGGGGGGCCTTTAACACTTAAAGACATGGTATTGGCGCAGCACAACATCTGCTCTGTAATAAACAGCTTCACGAGAGCAGACAAGTTCAATGAGTGTCACTTAGTTGATGAATTCATACTGAAAGTTATCTGACAGTTTGTAAGTGCTGAGGGCAAAAGAAGGAGAGGAGAAAAAAACACAGCGAAGACAAACATCTCAAGGCAAAGCAGAAAACAGAGTGATGGAGTGAGAGAATGAAGCTGGGTTTAGGGGGAGACAGGCTGTCAGGTCTTTTTGTCCAGCTCAACCTGTTGACTTCAGAGAAGAGAAAAAATGGTTTACTCAGAGAATGCCCTGAGTGCCCAATTCCATCTGAGAGCCCTGGAGACTCGGGGAGGGGTAATTCGGACCATTTTCAAGGTGAGGAGTTGTTTTCTGTAGCCCACTATTTGTTTTAATGAGAGTTGTCCTCCTTCGCTCTGTGTGCTTTACTGTATTCCTCTCCAGCCATGCTTTACCTTCCCCTATACACGGGCAACTCCTCATTAACTCGCAGCATTGACTCTCACTTTCCTCCAGCCCTGCACCTGCCTCATAATATTCTCTCATTAATACTCCCACCCATTTATCGCAAAACACGAGAAAGAAAAACAGGGGGGGGGGGGGGGGGAATCTCTTCTGCAGAAAGGCAATTCATCTGTCACAGTTTTAGTGCACCAGGAAAAAAGTGAGGAAAAAAAAAAGGTTCTTAGTCAGCACCATCACATTGACAGCGTACCAGCTAGGCTCAGGAACAATCCTGACTCGAGAATGATCAAGGTTAGATGGGAAAATACGCACACACAGACACACTGGGAACAAGTTTGAAAGGCGCGCGCACACACACGCGCGCGCGCACAGAAGCCAGGAGATATCAGACGGGATGTTTATTAAGATGGCAGACTCGCTGCAGGTAGGCAGGAAGGTACCGGAGGTTCTGGGAGAGCGCCTGTCATTTTCTCTCAATTGTATTTGCTCTCCATATTTCCCGTCCCCTCCTCCCTGGCCGCCCATTATCACCGGGCAGCAGATGGTTTCCTCTGACTCGACAAAAAACCATGCCGGAGAGGAGGAGGGGAGCCAGATAAATAATTTTTGAGTCGTGCCAAGCCATTCTGTGTTTGTTGTCAAGCTGGCTGGGGAAAGATTCTTTTTGTGTGTTTTTTTTACCGTACACAGCATCGGTGCATATGGACCACATACTGCAATAGTTCCAACATGAAACAGAAGGTCAGTTTCTATCAGGTCGACTAAACCTGCATTTTATATTTACAACATGGAACTTTCTGCTATGAAAAGGTGTACAAGCAATTTCGATCTGTGTTTAACAGGAAATTGTGGTGATTTTCTTCAATACTGTGCCGTAATTCAAAACCTATTTTCTTCCTAGTTGCCTTGAAAAGCCCTTTTCAGGGTTTGAAGCAGCTGCCCGTCTGCTCCTCCTGCACAATCATGCAGAAACACACGAGCACGCACATGCACACACAGCAAAACTAGAAGGATCCGTCTCCCCCCTTCTCAAACACCTGACTGTAGCAGACATGTCGGAATCAGTGTATTGAAGAGAGGAAGATACAATCAAGATGCATCAGGCCTAAATATATACTCGTCGTCTTCCGTCGCGGGCAGCGGAGACAGCGGTCTCAGTCTGGCTGGCGTGTCAGCCATGTCCTCGGACATGGCGAACGCTGACATCTATCATTATGTGTGCTGCCATCTCGCAGTAGTAGGCAGCAGTAACGTGCCTACCAGAACCTCCCGCCACTGGCCACCATCTGCTGTGGGTACATATAGGAGGGGCCTTGTTGTGATCCCCGCGGCTCAGGGCTTTGATTGTTTTGAGTCATCCACATCATCCACATCCAGTAAACAGAAAAGGTTTGCTCATGGCTTTGTGTTTGCCTTTGCGTTCTGTTCGAGCCAGCCTTGTCTGGGTGAGTTATTGCACCAGTTCAAATCCTATAATGACGCCGGGGTAGGACACCAGGCTCCCACAAAAAACTACCGCCATTGAATTTCTGCATAGGCTTCAGCTCTCTGTACCTTTGGTGCTTGCGGTATGGCCCAGTACTGCCAAAACATATAGTGCTCCAATCCCCAGAGAAATTGCTTTAATGCTCGACTCGGGGAGGAAAAAAAAAGAGAATAAAAGAGAGAGAAAGAGAGGGAGACAGAGAGGGGGGGATGAGTCTATAACACCCAGGTCCCACTGGGGTAAACAATGTTTCAGCGCACACTGATCAAATCAGCTAACTGCTATGAGATTTAATAACAGGTCTGGGTGAAAAGGAAGAGGTGTAGGGAGAGCAAAGCAGGTTTCCAACAAAAAACGGGAGAAGGTAAGAAGAGAGGAGGTTTGAGGGAGAAAAGGGGACGGAGCAGGACGGTAACAATACCACAGTAAAAAAGCTAATCTCGTGAAATGTCATTAGCACAACTGCCGGACACAATGAGATAGCAGCAGTGTGCAGGCCACTGCCACACCGGCTGATTATGTTCCACCTTTTAAGGTCCAGTGTTCTTGCGGGGGCAAAGCTCTTTACGCACGAGAGGAAGAATAACAGACCGCAGGCAGAGGAGGTTCACCTTGGTGTGGCATCACTCAGCTGGCATTGTAATCGGGCCTGTTGACGCACAGTTGTTTCCCTGATAGGTTTATCAGTTAATCCATTCCAAACGGACAGAGCAGCAATGTTCCTGGATTTCTGGTGGTCCAGTGTGAAGCTGCCATTATGGTTTCATTTAAATGCAACAGAGATTGTACACCTCCACAGTCAGCCTGCAATCTCAGGGGGGGGGGGGGGGATGTACACAAATGTAATTATAATCAAAATTTCAATAACAGCCGTCTCTGCCGTGTCCTGCTAGATCGTGTGCACTCGGAAAATAATATCATATTGTAATCCCACACCACGAACAAATCATAAAAAATAAAAAAAAAACGGTGCAGGAGAGGAAATGAAATTCAACTCCGACAGAATGGCTTTTTCTTCCCTTTGGCCAGGCACGGACAGATGCAGCGAATTTGGCTGAAACGTGGAGGGTGATGGAAATAATGGTTTTCCTCAGAGAAAAAAAGAGAGAAAAAAAAAATGTCAGCGAATGAGTGAAAGATTGAGAGGCAGAGTAAGACAAACCCATCCATCACACAGCCTCGTGTCATTGCTTTTGACAGATCATTTTCGGTTTTTCTAAAATAGAGGGGGGAAAAAGAAAGATCTTTTCTCTCCTCCGTCCAAAAGCGCCAACCGAGTGTGGTCCGAAAATGACCAGCGGCGCCAACTCATTTTCTTTCGAACATTATTCACTTACTGTATAGCGGTATCTCTTTTCCATGACAACGCGCTGACACCTAAATGTGAAGTGGATTTGTTCTGGGTTTCCGTCATAATGGTGCTGAATGCTGGAGCCCGATCCACGGGGCGGCCGTGTCCAATCTATTAGACTGGAACATAGCAGAGCATCTCAGGAGTAAACAAAGAGACTACTGCGCCATTTTTTTGGCAGCCATCTTAAAACGGAGCGGTGCTCCCAAACATGCGGAACAGCGTGGTGCCACTGATGGCTGCATACTGACGAGAGAGAGAGAGGAAACCAGGTACTATTTCTTTTTACTCCAAAGGCAAGTGCAACACTCCATTGTGTTGCACTTAAAAATGTGAACCGATACCGAGATTAGACATATCCACGGCATTGTGGAAGGCATAAAATGTCATATTCTCAAATCGCAAATCTTTTGTTGTGTTTAAAGAGCGTATTGTGAATTGGAGGAGCTCTAACAGTCGGAGGAATGAC